CTTGAAATTACCATTCAGAATCCTTTTAGCATCTTGTATTAGGCCATTGTCACTTCTTGTAATTAGGAGATCATCTACATATACCAATATAATTACTATATCCCTACCACTCCTTTTGGTAAACAATGAATAGTCCAGTTTGCTTTGGCTAAAACCAGAAACTACAAGAGCTGAAGTCAGTTTCAGGTTCCATTGCATGCTGGCACCACTTGAGTAGTCTACACACTCTAGTCTCCCCCTGACTACCAAAGCCCTGTGGTAAGGACATGTAAACCTCCTCCGAAAGATCACATTGGAGGAATGCATTATAAACATCCATCTGGAACAAAGGCCAACCACACTGAGCTGCCAAGGCAATCACACTCCGTACTGTGACCATCTTTACTACAGGAAAAAAGGTCTCATGATAATCCAGACCCTCCTGCTGAGTAAACCCCTTCGCTACTAGCCTTGCTTTATACCTCTCTACAAACCCATCAGCTTTGTATTTGACTTTGTAAACCAACTTAAAACCTATGGGAGACTTCCCTGCAGGCAAGGTTACTAACTTCTAGGTATTATTATCTGTGAGAGCTTGAATCTCAAGCTTCATAGCTTGTACCCAATTGTTGTCAGTGACAGCTTGGTGAAAGATGTTGGTTCAATGATGGAGGAATAGGAAAACAAACATGTTTGATAAGAAGAGGATAAGAAAGAGTAATTGATGGAATCTGTGATGGAGTAAGGAGTGGAGGATGAAGGTTTGACCTGATGGATAAAGTCTGTAAGCCACAAGGGAGTTTTAGATGGCCTTCCAGATTTCCTCAAAGGAGCTATAGGAGTAGGAGGCAAATCCTGGTGTTGTGGTGCTGAAGGCAAGATTGTAGGAGGAGCAGACAGGACAGGGGAGGATGTTGGAGTAGGATAAGGAATATGAGAGGTAGATGGAGATGAGTGAACTGGAGATGACATATGAAAAGAGGTAGATGGATACAAGGGATGATCAGAAGAAGTTGAAGGAGAATCAGGATCTGGGATTGAGGGTGGTAAGGGATCCATAGAAGCTGGAAAGGAATCATCACAAGTAGAAGTTGGAATACTGGTAGGAAATATAGGTGTTGAGCTTGAAGATAGAGTATGGAGAAAGGTGGATTTAGGATACTTAAATGGAAACAATATCTCCCTGAAAGAAACATCCCTACCGACAAAGAAAGTTCCATTGGAGATATTGTATAATCTATAATCCTTTTGAAAAGTTGAATAACCCATAAAGATAGCAGGCATGGCTCTTTGAGAAAACTTGTCAGTATTATGTAAGGTGGTTGCATAACAAAGACATCCAAAAACTGTAGTGATGTCAAGTGTGGGAGGATGTCCATGAAAAACCTTATAAGGAGACTTCCCAGATAGGACTGAAGATGGTAATATATTAATAAGAAAGGTTGCAGTGAGTACACACTCCCCCTAGAAATTTAATGGTACATGAGCCTGAAACCTAAGGGCTCTAGCCATTTCAAGTAAATATTTGTGTTTCCTTTTTGCCACTCCATTTTGCTGTGGAGTGTGTACACAAGAGCTTTGATGTAAAATTCCAATTGATGAGAAAAGAGTTGAACACTGATAATTGAAGAATTCAAGACCATTATCTGATCTTATGATTTTAATTTTGGTAGAAAACTGATTTTTGACAAGTGTGAGAAATGATTTGATTAAAAGGAAGACATCACTTTTCATTCTCATCAAGTAGATCCAAGTCATTCTAGAGTAATCATCTACAATAGTAAGGAAATACTTGTATCCATTGTAAGTACATTATCTATATGGACCCCCAGACATCCATGTGTACAAGTTCAAAAGGAGATAGACTCTTCTTTGTACTAGTAGGAAAAGAAAATCTAATTTGCCTTGCTAAAGGACAAACAGTACAATTTAGAGTCTTTATTCAACAAGCGATTCTTCAATGAAGGAATCTTTTGTAATACTGCTACTGGAGCATGACCAAATCTGTGGTGCCCAATGGAAGAATGTGAGCATGACTTTGATGAGATATTGGATGACTCTAGGACTGGAGTAGTAGAGGCTGGAATTGTTGAAGGTATAAAAGAGCTGAAAGCAGGAGTTGAAGGTGTTTCAGGTACTTTGATAGGTGGTGGTATCTTGGCAGGTTGAAGTATGTAAAGTCCATCCTTCTCCTTACCAATTCCCCTCACCCTGCCATTGTAGAGGTCCTAAAAAATGCAGAATTCAGGAAAGAATAATGCACAACACATCAGTTCTTTAGTTAGCTTTGAAACAGATAATAGATTGTATTTGAAGTTAGGAACATAAAGAACATTATACAGTTCTAGGTCATTAGAAATAATTAATGATCTTGTATGTGTTACTGAAGTAGTGTTGCCATTTGGCAGATGTACTTTACTAGAGTTAGAAGCAACAAAATGAGATTCAGTTAAGTGGTCCAAGCTAGAAACCATATGATTCTAAGCTCCAGTATCTATGACCCAAGCGTTAGTTTCAGAACCTACAGAGTAACATGCATTAAGGAGATCAGCTATACCTGCCATGTTTACCCTTGCATCTGTTATTGTTGGTTCTTTGTCAATTAACTTTAACAGTTGGTTATACTGTTCTGGAGTAAAAAATAGTATACTGTTGGGCCCTAATAAGCTGCCTACTGAGCTGGTTCCTTCAGATTCCTCAACACAGCTCACATTGTTGGCTGTAGGTCCCATGCTTCCTCCTGAATTTCCCTTGTCAAAAGTTCTCCTTTTGTTGAATTTGTTGTTAGGTGGATACCCTACCAGCTTATAGCAATTCTCTTTCTCGTGATCCTTCATATGATAGTAATCACATTGCAATACACTATTTCCATTCTTCTTTCTGAACCTGTTACTTTGGATGGAAGCCAAGGCTGTAGGGTCATTCAAATCAAGTTGTTGCAAGGCTGGAGCTACCTGTGATATCATGTTTGATTGCACTCTTTGGCTTTCATCTTGCATGATCATATTGTATTCTGATTGAGAGTGGGAACATGGACAGTCAACAACACTTGACTCCTTGCTTGCACATATATTTTATTTAGACCTATTAGAAATTGTACCAATCTTTGTTGTTTCATGTGTTCTGCATATTCCTTATGCTTTGTGCAGTCACATGGCAATGGTACCATTGACCAATACTCATCCCATGCACATTTCAATTTTGAGTAATATTCTGACACTCATAAACTTCCTTGGCTAGTGGTACAAATTTCTCGGAGCAGTTGATAAACTCTAATGAGATTTTTCTTATCAAATCTTTCCTTTAGGTCTGTCCAAATACTATAGGCATTGGTTGAGTATATTATACCATTCGCTAGTTCCTTAGACACTGAATTAGTTATCCAGGACAACACGAAAGCATTATATCTCTCCCATTCATGTTCCAAATTACCATTATAGTGTTTTTTCCGACATTTTTCATCTATGAACCCTAGCTTATTTTTGGCTAATAAAGCTACTCGCATAGAATTACTCCAAGCTGTATAGTTTTCTAATCCCGTTAGTTATTGAGGGATTAGACCACTACCTGGACTGTCGGAGGGATGTAAGTATAGAGGATGCCCGGGATGTATGTCCGTGAACTTTTCTCTGTCGTCCTTCCCGGTCTCCAAAGTTGTGTCATCATCGACGAGGCTTGGAATTAGTGAATCGAAGGTAGAATCAAGGTCGATCTTCAAGGAAAACCTTGCACTTTGCCGGAATTTGCGAATTATGAGATCGATCGATCGCAAACCCTAGGTGAATCGCCCAAATTTCTGACGAACTCTTTTAATTTCTTACTTCTCCGACAAAATTGAGTGAGCATATAGATACTAATCTTAGATTCCTCGAAGAATCAGCTCGAAAATTGCCATGGATTTATGGCTCTGATACCATATTAAAAGGGAGAAGAGAGCTGCTCTTCGAGCTAAAAATGAGAGAATAGAGAGAGAAGAAAGTTCTGGATATTTTGACTCTTTTATTTCATCTGTCTTTACACGTGTGTAACCCTTTACATATATATCCCCTACTCTAACTTTTTCTAATAATACATATAACTATCTATTAGTGCTAAACTAATACTAATCAATTATATGCAATTACCATTGCTTATGTACAACATTATACTGCACATGTTGATTTTAACAGAATGAATAAATATTTTTTATTAATTTTGCCACCACTAATCACGAGAAACAATTTGGCATTCCCACCTCAATATTTAACCAGTAAATAAATTTAATATTGTTTCACTTTGTAATGTCCTTTATCATCGATTTATTGAAAAAATATTTTATTATGAAAGTTTCTTTTAGATTTTAATTTTCAGTAATTATTGCGGTTACTAGATGCTTACTCATTTATTTTGTTGTTTGATTTACATGTCAACAATAACCCAGTATAATCCCAGGTTATTTTCGATAGACCCTCGGCTCCGTCACAACCTCTTGGTTGGAAAGGAAGTGGAGGTGCTCCCATCATTTCACAATATTTTTGCACATTTGAAAGGAAGTATAGTATTTAAAATCAACATAATTTCTATAAGAAGAAAATCATTCACACTTAAATGGCGAAGGCGAAACTAAAGGAGTACTAAAACCATAATGCCTAAAACCTGCAAATGAGAGGCGAAATAGAGGATAAGTTGGTAAGTTTTCTGTGAAAATCTCTCTTGCGTACGCAAAATCTGAAGTTACAATGGAAACTACAGCTTTAAAGAGGAGAAATGTCCATATTCCATCTACTTCAAGAAAAGATTCAAGCTCAATAATCCCTCCTCCATTTCCCCAAGCAATCATCATCGAGATACTAGATCTCGAAGCTGCCCGTTAAGTCACTTTTTTGATTCAGGTGTGCTTCAAAACCATGGCTTGCTCTAATATCTAGCTCTGAGTTCTCCGCTAATGACAAAGAATATCGCCACATCACGGTTATGTTAAGCTTTGGATCGGAGATAATTACCTCAAGGATTGTACTGAGGCATTTGACCCGGATTCTCCCATGCGCAAATCCCAGACTACTTGGTGTGTGGGTTCTGCCAATGGATTAATTTGTTTGAACATTGGACTAGTGTGTATCCCATTTGATAAGACTTCACCAAATAATTTATGTATTTGGAACCCATCAATTAGGAAGTCCAAGAAGTTGCCTGGCTCAGAAGTTACATTGAGGAGGGATTGTAATAGCTTTTCAGGATATGGTTTTGGATTTGATGAGTTACATGACGATTATAAAGTTGTGTTTATTCTCAATACTTTTAGTGATTTTCCTTCATATGATACTAAGATCAGAATTTACAGCCTAAAGACTGATTCTTGGAGAACAGTGGATAATTTTCAGGATGGCTTTATGGTAAATAGTTCAGGTATATTTGTTAAAGGGAAGCTTTATTGGACCTCACTTGCTAGTGTTCATGAGCTCAATGGCTACAGTAGATGCAACATCATGTGTTTTGATTTATCAAATGAGACATGGGGAATGGTGGAGCAACCCAATTATGGAGAAGGCAAGTGGAGAAGCCAGAAAATTTAATAAGGGTGTTCAAATTGCCAGTGGGCTATGCAAGGGTGTTCAAAGTCTATTTTTAATTACTAACAAGTAATATTTTACCTTATACGTAGTATAATATTTCGGCAAAGGGTGGTTAGTTGACCACCTTTGGGCCAACATAGCTTCGCCCCTGGAGAAGGCAAATTTAGTTTGATGCCGGGAGTTTTTGGAAGTGATCTTATCGTGATTTGTAACCATGAGGGATGTCATTATGATGTGTGGGTTATGAATGATTATGGAGTTGAAGCATTCTGGACAAAGATGTTCATCATTTACTGTCCCGATGATCCTGGGAATCATGTGCATTATCGACCCTTTGCCATGTCATTTTCACCGCCGATTTGCCGGTCAAATAAGGGTGAAATTTTATTTTTGTATCGGTCAATGTTTATGATATACAATCCAAAGGATGATTCAATCAGACAACCTGAGGTTACTAAATTTGAGAGCTGTTTTGAAGCAGAAATCTATGTTGAAAGCCTTGTTAGTCCCTCGTTGGTTGCTGACTGGGGACACGATAACCATGAAGACTAACAGCCATGTCGTCGATAACTGTAAGAGTTCTGTTACCCATTTCATTTTAATAATTGAAGTTCTCCTTTTGCATTTCCTTTTAGTCATATATAGAACAAGACAGTGAATATCTTTGAAGCTATATGTTACATTTTCTTGTGTTGGTTGAAGTTCTTCTAAGCATTCCTCTTTTTTATTTTGTCACTATTTGCATGAAAAAAGGTTATTAGTCGTAATATATTATTTTTCAAAGTTCTAGTTAGAGTAAATATATGTTATTTGTTGTCTTAAATAGAGGTTTAGAAATTAGAAGACATGATTTTCCTCTAGGCAGGGCATCCCAACAGCTTGGTTAGTCTTACATTCAGGTTTTGCGGCACCTATTGTCCATTTCATTTGGGGATACTTAATAGAGCTAAAAGAAGAACAATAAGAATAATAAAGTCTTGTTAAGTTCTGACATAATATCCGATTTTGGTCTTTTTCCTTGTATCAGGCTGTTTCTTTTCTCTTTCTCGCAATCTTTTTCTTTCTTTTACTTCTTTGGTGAATTAATGGCCGAATCTTGTTTCACTTTGACAGACATTGTGATGAAAGCACAAGCAATTTGGACGAGAAAATGAGATTTAGGAAGTAAAGCTGCAATAGTCATGAGGGTGGAGTGAACGACCAAATCCGAGGGTAGTCCAGGAGAGTAATGGACTTGGACTGAGCCCTTGTCTGATAGGGTTCTATCAATTTAAATTATAGAATGAGTAAATAATATCATACTGATTTATTACTTTCAAAAATAAATAGATCTACTTTACTGATTATTTATGCTTCTTTATGAATAGACCTGGACCACGTTTGCAATCGTCTGTAGTTCCATATTCTCAGAATTGTTAGTCGCTATAATGCATTCTACAAAATTCGTCACAATAGGGATCAAATCTACTTAATATCTCAAAACCTAGCAATCTATCTCTCGAAAGCCTTAAAAGGCTCCTTTTTTTTTTGGTAAGGTAAAATTTTATTAATAAGGTACCAAGATGGTACAATAAAGTTACAGAAAAAATTCCCAAATTACAACATCAGCAAACTATTCTCCCCCTCCTAACACCTCTAGAAAGTCCATAAATTGATTCAGATTTCTTAACTGGCTACATTTACACCAAAAATACAGATTATGAAAATATATATTCTTAATTCTAATAATATTATTTCTATGTCCTTCAAAGCAGGCCATGTTTCTTTCCAGCCATAAGGTCCATAGAATGCACAATGGAATGGTTCTCCACATCTGTTTCAGCCTTCTAGGTTCTCTTTGGGATTGCCAAGTTTCTAATAAGCCCCTCACAGATTGAGGCATCACCCAAGAAATACCACAGATGCTAAAAAATAGATCCCAGCATTGCGTAGATACTCTGCAATGGAGAAGTAGATGGTTTACTGATTCTTGCTCTTATTCACATAGGTAACACCTATTGCACAGACTAAAACCTCTTCTCTGCAAATTGTCCTGAGTTAAACAGGCTCCCCAGGCTGCTATCCACCCAAAGCCAGCTACCTTAACTGGAACTCTGATTTTCTAAATAATCTTCCTAGGCCAGTTGTTATCTCTGTGATTTGACTGTTCTATCAACCTGTCATAACAGCTTTTCACAAAAAAAGTTCTATCCTTGCCGTCAGTCCAAATGAAAGAGTCCACATTGTTATTAACTATCTGCCAACCTGTATCTGAGTAAAAATCAGAGATGGTACTGTTAGGATCGGAAACTCGGGTAGTGCGGAATTTAACTAAACAATGTTATAATGACAATAACAAAGACAATGCAAGTTGATAATAACGATAATTAAAGCAGATAAAGAAGACACCAATTTAACGTAGTTCGGTCAGTGTGACCTACGTCCACAAGCGGAGAGAAAATTTTTTACTATACTAATAAGAGTACAAAAGAGAATACAAAATTAGAATAAATACTCTAATTAATCCCAAATACCCTAAGAGAATAACCTCACAAGATAACTCCAAAGAAATAGTTCACACAAGTGCTTCCCAATACTTAACTCTCATACAAAACACTTTTAATAAAGGAGGAAAGGAAGAAACAAGAAATGAAGACTCAAATCTCGTTGGTGTGATTAAAATGAACTAATGTTCTTTCCTTTTATAGGCAAAAAAGCTTTGGCATCTTAGTTGTAAAAGAAAAGATACAACTTGTGCAAATAATATCCACAACACAATGAAATATTTTTGGGTCCCAAAGAATATTGCCAACAAAGTCTACACTTTGCAAATATGCTTATGCTTATGTGAGATGGACTCCATTAACCAAAATATTGGCCATATTACAGATACCATCCTTGTTAACAGAATAATTGAACAAATTAGGGAATCTAGATTTCAGACATTCATCCCCTATCTATAAATCTGTCCAAAACTTGATTCTTTGCCCATTTCCAACTTTCAGTTTAGTATACTCCAAAAATTCTTCCCATAGTCCGCTAATGCACTTCCATTAACCACCTCTTGCCTTCATGTGTAAAGAAGGAGGTCTCCAGCCTTTCTTATTACCATAAATTGCATTAATCAAATTCATCCAAACTTTATTATCTTCCAGAATGTATCTCCAAATCCATTTGAAAAGTAGGCTCTTATTATGCAATTTTCAAATTCCTTACTCCCAGACCACCTCCTTTTTTATCATTCAATACCACCTGCCATTTAATTAAATGCAATCTGTTTTTCATAGCATTCCCTTCCCATGGAAATTGGTTTCTCAAAGAATTCATTTTTTTTCTACTGCAACAAGCATTGAGAATAAAGACATCAAACATGTTGGCATACCATCCAACACACTATTAATTAGAGTGAGTCTACCCCTAAAGGATAGGTACTGTTTCTTACAAGGAATTAGCTTTCTTGCACACCTGTACGGAACCCCTTTTCCATATATTAGGATCATTTTCTTTGCCCCCCAAAGAAGCCCTAAGTAAATTATTGGAAACTTCTCCACTTTACAATCTAAAATGTCACCCAGTTCATCAATAATATCATCAGCATTTATACTGAATATACTACATTTTGCCAAATTAGTCCTTAATGAGTGGCTGCTTCAAAAGTTAAAAGAACTCCTTTGAGTTTTTTTTTTTTGAAAATAACTCCTTTGAGTTAAAGCATTTGTTCTTTCTCTGGCTCACAAAATAGTAGAGTATCATCAACATATAAAATATGAGAGATTTAAACCCTGTCTTCATTAGTACTTCCAAAGCTCATGCCTTTAACCCATCCTAATTCTTCTGCCTTCATTAAGATCTTACTGAAAGCTTCCATTACCAGAGTAAATAAATAAGGGGATAAAGGATCCCCTTGCCTCAATCCTCTTTGAGATCTAAAATAGCCTTGGGGGTTTCCATTTATCAATACTGAGAACCTGACAGTGGAGATACAATAACTGATCCATTCAATCCACTTGTCACCAAAATTCATCTGCTTCATTATGCTTAATAAACAAGACCAATCAACATGATCATATGCCTTTTCTAGGTCAAGTTTGTAAGCAACACCTATCTTCTTCCTTTTCAACAAATATTCAATACTTTCATTAGCCAACGTAGATGCATCTGTTATTTGTCTACCCTTAATGAAAGCATTCTGACTCTCAGAAACTAGATTGTCAATAACCAATTTCAGTCTTTCTGCCAACAGCTTTGCTAGAATCTTGTACACACTCCCCAATAGATTAATAGGCCTAAAATCTTTCACCTCTATTGCTCCCTTTTTCGTGGGAATCAAAGCAACAAAAGTAGAATTTAGGCTCCTAATAAAGGTCCCCATTTTATGAAATCTTTCAACAATTCTCCACACATCATCTTTTACTGTACTCCAACATTTCTGAAAAAACATAAGGTTGAAACCTGGGGCTTTGTCACCTCTAAAACATTTGATTACATCTTCCACCTCCTCCATTGTAAATGGTCTCTGCGCAGCCATTCCTTATCTTCACTTCCATTTGTTATTTTCTCGGGATAAAGTGACAATTTCTTCTCTATTTTCGCTCAAATTCTTCTCAATTTCTAGTTTTTGTCGCTTAAAATGATGATTTACTCTATCCATTTAGAGTTATGTTTCTAATCACTGATTTTCATAGTCAAACTGTTTGGTATATTCTTCAACTCTTTGTTGGTTTTGTTTACCCTAAAAATGGATAACAATTAAATTTGTATGTGATTTTAAGGATACGTGGATTAATTCAATACAAATGATAAATTGCGTTAGATTAAATAGATAAAGGACGTAGTAGATTGTCAAACCACTTAAAGAGGGTGATTCTGAATTCAATGACAGCCTTAATGAGATGTCTGCCCTCGATCCCGGACTCACAATAATGAAGCACTGATGAACAAGAATAAGAACTTTGAATAACAGAGAAAATAAGAGTATATTACCTTGATATGCGTGTTACAGTATCTTTGATGAATAATCA